ATGAAGATTCTATACCTTTTAATTCTTCAGAAGAAGTCGTTTGAAGTTTTTGACATATTTGACCCCTGTGACCTTGAAAGTAGGTCAAACTAATTTTCATTCTCAAACTTTGTTGGTCTCTATCCCAGGAAGCCACCAGCCAAATATAAAGATTCTATACCTTTCAGTTCTTTAGAAGAAGTCGTTTGAAATTTTTGACATATTTGACCCCTGTGACCTTGAAAACAGGTCAAGTTCATTTTCGTTCTCAAACTTTGTAGGGCTCCTACCAACGAAGCTTTCAGCCAAATATCATGACTCTAGGCTTGTCCGTTCTTCAGAAGAAGTTGTTTAAAGGAAAAGTTGACGGACGAGGACGGACGGACGCCGCCCCACGGCATAAGCTCACTTGGCACTTCGTGCCAGGTGAGCTAAAAACAGAAGTTAAGGGGAGGTTACTCTATATAGGAAAAAAAACAGAAGTTAAGGGGAGGTTATTCTATATAGGAAAAACAGAAGTGCAGTGGGACAGGGATCCTTAAATGATTAGTGTATATGCCACCTAACACTTTATACGTGTGAAATTTGATCTAAGTGTTATCTCCTTTAAAAAAAAGGGGCAAAGTTTCTCAAAATATTTGGAATAACCAATGGGTTAACTTTGTATAATGTTGAGCATGTGGTTTTTTGAACAGATCGTAAAGTCCAGATTATCCTTCATCAAAGATTTCTTTTAACTTGTTTTTTGGAGTTAACTCTTTTGAAAGGAGATACACGTAAAAGTAAGATAGTACATACACCCTTAAATCAGTAAAAGTTTATTGTACTGTCTGGATACAAATTTTAAAATACCAGAATAACTACCACCTGTAAAATGACCAGTAAAGCCATCCTGATTGGGTCAATGAAGATGCATCATGTTTGAGATACATTTTTAATGGATGAAGATGATCCAAGATATTTTTCTTACAAAATAATTTAAAGAGTGTGAGCTTGTACCGATGATGTGCTACATATTACAGAATGTACCTATAATTTGTGTCACTGTATTTGACCGCAAAATAAGACCCCTCTCACACCCCTCCCCACTTTGGTAAACGTCCCGAGGACAGATTCAACAATGTGGGTGCCTGCAATTTTGGCCCCTCCCTTATTTTATCTTTCAAAAACATTGTATGTTAATTTTTGTCTCTAAACATAAGCAAATTAGCTAATTGGTTGCAAAACAAATCAAGTTAAAATTCTGCAAATAATTATGTCAACAGAATCAGGCCAAATAATAAATAGCATGCATGTCATGTGAATGTACTCTGGTGATTCCGTATTTTATAAAGGATCATGTTAACAATGAATTCAAGAATGAACTATATATAAGATATAATAGCAATTAAATATGGAATATGATGTTAACATAACAAAGTTTCAAGACTTCTTGATGACTGGACTTAATTAACCCTCTCACCCCTACGTAACATTAGTAGACTATACCATGCATTGATATGGATGAGTCCATTATGGTCTATGGTGAAAGGGTCAAAGCAAACACATCATTCTAGATCTGTTGCTGAAAGAACACCATGCATACCTTCCTTTTTTAACGTTTTTGTATTTTGCAGGTCAATTGAGTGATCTCCCTTTCATTTTTATATGGACAGTGCTTTGTCAGTATGGACATGTCTTGTCAGTGAAATGCATGCACGGGACAAGTCTTACCACTGTTTCGTTTAGAACCAGCCGCACTCTTCTTTGGTTTGGGGATTGTGACCTCCATCTCTTCCGTTGTATCCGTGTCAAAGGGGGACGGGGAGCGAGTGTTCTCCGGCGTACTGGCCAGGTGGGCAAGTAATACACTGGGGTCTGGAGACAACAAACACCAGTTGCTAATCATTTGGTTCCGACAAAACATTCATGAATGTGGTAGAAGGGGGGTAACTCTGTACATCATTGATTGTTTGGTATGCAGCGCTACTTTAATAGAAACGTTTGATGTCATGCTGAATATGCAAAGTAACTGTACAATGAATATAACATTGCTGCCAAAATTAGTCTGTATACATTCAATAAATAGGAGTAACATGTAAAATCTAACTTTATTTCCATCTAATTCCATGACCATTACTTATTGTTAACTGCCAAACCCCCTGGTATCTTCCAAGAAGGAGGTTTATGTAGCCTGTATTGCTCATTTATTAATACTTAAGTTAAGTTTTCATATTTTGTTCAAATTTTTTATTTATTAAAACTTAGTTAAAATTCCTTCCTCCATCCTTAAGGAGAAGACTTTTAAATCGTGACTATTGGTAACATTATTATTCAGGAAATATTTCCATCAAACTTAAGTGACTGATGAGATTTGCAGTTTTATCCTACCTTTCGTGTCCTCACACACATGTTTAGAAGGTGTATCCGAATCTCCATTGCGCCTGTCGGGGGTGATTTTAGACCAAACCACTTTTGTAGCTGTAAACGTAAGAAGGCTTTATCAGTCAGAGCTGCAATAATATATCGCAGAAATGTTATATTTTAATGCTGTGTGTTAAAATTCCAGTATTTTTTCTACCTTAATTCAACAGTAGCTAATTTGTACATTCCTAGGTTTAAAATTTGCTTCATTAGTAAACTATAGGATGGGATTGTAACCAAAAATACGGTCAACACTAACAGTGAAACAGATAGATCATTTCAATTTCAGCTTACTTTATATTGAAAGGGTTTATCAGCAAAATTGAATGTTGAAATTGAGAGATGAAATGCATTACTGGATTGATTGTTCACTTTGAACATGTCTGATATGCTATACTTTTACAAATGATAAATAAACCAAAAAGACAAACCTGTTATTTTTTGGAAATCAATTTGGAATTTATCTGGGACATATTTGGGAAAATGGGACCCTTGTTTCGATCCAGAATCGATCCATTCCATCGACTGAAAAAGGGGATCGATAAAGCTCTGTTGCACATTATCTATCATTGCACAGTTACCTTCAGGGTGTATAGTTTTACAGATGTTCGTCACAGCCAGCAGAGATGGTAGAATATTTGAAAATTTCTTTTCTGGCAGGAACTTTTCTTTGTGATCCGCCTGTCTGCGATCAACTCGAAACTCCCTGCATTTTGATATCATCTCTGAAAGCCTGTCGAAGTAAAAAAAGCAACTCTTTTAAAACAATTCATTACCAATTGACATAGCAGAAATCTGTACATGTAGGTATAACATATCCCAAAGTCTTCTACAGAGGCAAGTACTGTTTATAGAGTAATTATATACTGTCTTCAGGGTTATATATACTGCATACAGAGTTATATATACTGTGTTCAGGGTTATATATACTGTGTACAGGGTTATATATACTGTCTACAGGAATATATACTGTCTACATGGTTATATATACTGTATACAGGGTTATATATACTGCATACAGAGTTATATATACTGTGTACAGGGTTATATATACTGTCTACAGGGTTATATATATTGTCTACATGGTTATATATATTGTATACAAGGTTATATATACTGTCTACATGGTTATATATACTGTCTACAGGGCTATGTTTACTGTCTACAGGGTTATATATACTGTGTTCAGGTTTATATATACTGTCTACAGGTTTATATATACTGTCTATAAGCTACATGGTTATATATACTGTCTACATGGTTATATATACTGTATACAGGATTATATGTACTGTGTACAGAGTTATATATACTGTCTACAGGGTTATATATACTGTCTACAGGGTTATATATACTGTCTACATGGTTATATATACTGTCTACAGGAATATATACTGTCTACATGGTTATATATACTGTATACAGGGTTATATATACTGCATTCAGAGTTATATATACTGTGTTCAGGGCCATGTATACTGTCTACAGGGTTATATATACTGTCTTCAGGGTTATATATATATACTGGAGTATATATTATACTGTCTACAGGGTTATATATATATATACTGCCAACAGGATTATATATACTGCATACAGGGTTATATATACTGCCTTCAGGGTTATATATAATGCCTACAGGATTATATATACTGCCTACAGGGTTATATATACTGTCTAAAGTTTTATATATACTGCCTTCAGGGTTAAACATTATCCACATATACTGTATGTACAGTTATATGTACACTGTCTACAGGCAGGGCTAGCATTAATGATTGCGAAGATGTATATACCGTAAACAGGATTATATATGCTGTATGGCGTATGCATGGTATAATTTATAACGATCGCGAAGATGTATATACCGTAAACAGGATTATATATGCCTTATAGCGTATGCATGGTATAATTTATATATGTTGTATCATAAAAAAATTATACTGTACACAGATTAATTTTTAGAGCTGTTTTATTTCTGAACATTATCGATGAATACGCTGCTATGTTATTGTGTTACCAATGCAGATAGAACTAGATACACTGATGTTCCAGTATTTCTCGTAAGTATAAATGTTCCTCAGTAATGAACAGTGGTCAAACTGGAATACTTTTAACTCCATCTCAAAAAATGTATATAGTAGAAAGATACTTTCACAAACTCCAGAGCAAAACAAAGTTAATAGAGGGCAAACATGGATTGGACAGGAGAAGGATTGATATTTTCTGGTGCAAACTATATGCATACACCAATCCTAAAAAAACCAGCTTATAGGTATAGATGAACCCTCATCTGGGACATCTCATACATATATTATAAGGTAAAACTCTTGCCTCAGACATGTAAAACAAGATAGAATCTTATGTCTCTGGTAGATCCTTGTCTCAGATATAGGTCAAACACAAGAAATATCTTACGTGTTCGGTAGAATTCTCGCCTCAGATATGTCAAACTTGGTGAAAAAGACCATGACTCTCCTGATCATTAATGTGGCTGACTGCTCTATAGCTTTGATCCGCTCCAGGTCCTTACAGAGCTCAGTCACATTCTGCTTCTCAAAATCACAGATGTGCTTTTTTATTTCTTTCCTTTTGCCTACAAAAAAATGAAAATAAAAAGTAACCTTAAGCTTTAAAGGAATCATAGAAACAAAGGTTACCAAACAGATTTCATTAGTAATTTTGATTGAAATTTTTCATCTCATTGATAACATTAATTATTAACCCATAATTGACCTGTTGGGAAGTTATATTTAGATATCATGTGAGATGGCATACATGTCGACACCTGGAAGCCTCTCAGAGGATCGTGATTATGGGGAAGTTTTATACAAAGGGTAATGACGGTACAAAGGGGAAATCATATATACTGTTATATGCAATTTATACATTATAATGATTAGACCTAGCTAGTTGCACAAATTTTACAGACCTTAAGGACATTTGTTAAATTATTTTTTTCCTTAAAAAAGCATTACTTAATAAATTTAAGATAAATTTTCTTGAACTAAACTTTTTTCTTAAAATGCATTTCAATGGGAAAAAAAATAAGTCAAGGAATATTAATGAATCTTGAGACTGATCTTTAAAAGAAATTAACCACTTAATTTTAAAATGAGACTTAGAATACATTATACTTCTCATTAGCTGAACTCTGATGTTCTGATATAGGGACTTTCTGTCTTTATGCAACAGTCAACAATCTACCAGTATGTCATTTAGAAATATAGCTTCAGTCCTTACACCTTTAGCATACAACTTGGTATAGGGGAGTCAGATAAGGTTGCATTAGCCTGAGTTTCCTCTGGCCCTAACACCAGACTTAGACATTTTGACAGATATATGTCCGACGTGGGCACCAGACATCTATCGGTCAAAATGCCTAAGTCCATTATCAGGGCAAGAGAAAACTGGGGCTAAGGTTGTATGAAAACATTCACTGGAAACAAAGATGGTAGATTTACTGAGGCTCTTATATGTATTGGAAAAAAATAAAGTTACCTACTTTCAACTATTATCAACAACTGGTTGAAAGCGGTGTCCACATTCTTCAGCAGGGTTTCAGCAGATTGCTGGGAAAAGAAATGTCAGTTCATGTTTTAAATTTTTTCTAATCAGTAATTAAAATTCCTTATATTTTGTATGCCGGGAAATGTTCACTGCAGTTTAATTTTCCCCTTTTTTCGCTCTTCCCAATAACGATGAATTTATCAGGACAGTGAATATTAGTACATGTACACAGTTAATTCCATATATATAGTAATTACATGTGAAGGGGCGAAATTTCCTCTAGACGAAAAATGAATTTAATCGGCGAATATTTGACTGGGCGAATATTTGACCACCCTCAATGGTCTTCACCTAATCATTATACAAGTACCTCTATTTGTTTTTTCAACTCCTGTTTGTCATCAAATTCTGTTTTAAAAGCTTGCTGCATGAGTTGAAGTGCCGACACATCATCTTCTAATATGTTCTGTAAAACAAAAGTCAAACTACACTGAGATTCATCAGTATAAAATACACTCATCAACTAAGAATACTGTGTACACTCATCAACTAAGGACACTGTGTAAATATGTATACAACCCATTCATTCATAAGTTTGTCACAGTAATAGTGATAAGGAAAGCTTTAACTAACACATATTAAAGTGTCAGAAATATTAAGGACTATTTCAATTTCAACTCATTCACCCCTACATATCTAAACTGGACTTGCCAAGTCTTTGATTTGGTAAGGTTCAAATGTGATTTTAGGGGTGAATGGGTTAATTGGCATAATTTCTAGCCCATTTCTTATCTCGGTCTCTGGAAGAATATCATGCTAATCTATGTCTGCCGTCCGACCAAATCTTGTATCAACTGACCCTGACATTACGACATTCCCGGAGCTTGGAGATGGAGATGATATCGTGTCCACCATGGAAGTCGCGTAGACACAGAGCACACATGAACTTCTGACATGTGAGACAGACAAGATTCTGTTCCAACATGTCCATCTTGTGAACATCACATTCTTTGTAGCCATCTTCTACCTGATCCAGGAACCAGTCGATGTTCTCCATCAGATTCTTACCCACCGCATTAGTGTTAAACTGTAAAAGAAAAATTTGTGTCTTATACAATCTAAGTACATGTATTACAAGTTGGTTGTATATTGATGCTTTGTGTTTGAGTTAAGGTTATATGCTACCTTACACATTATATCTGTGCTTTGTGTTTGAGTTAAGGTTATATGCTACCTTTCAAATTATACCTGTGATTTGTTTTTGAGTTAAGGTTATATGCTACCTTTCAAATTATACCTGTGCTTTGTGTTTGAGATAAGGTTATATGCTACCTTACACATTAAACGTGTGATTTGTTAGAATTAAAGGTCAAGCATTATTTAGAATAAATAAAAACTGTCCACTCAAGGAAGTAACTGGAATTGAATTTTTCCATTCACCACCCCTGAAAATTGTTATCAAAAATCAAAAATTCATCTTTTTTCAAAAATCCATACATCACCACTAGACACTCTTTAAGGCCACATCCAAGTCTCATAATATTACACACACGTTCCATCCAAATCTTCACCTCAAACATCAGGCAAATATCCAATATCCATTTAAATATCAGGCAAATATCCAACATCTGGGGTACAGCACAAGATATTAATTTTAAGCACTGTCACAAGTCCATTTCACAGCCAATCCTAGGACTCCTGTTTCCTTACTGTTACAGGGCTTCATATACACAAATATGTGAAGTGTCCATTTTGTTTTGTTCGGACTTCATGTACACAAATATGTGAACTGTCCATTTTGTTTCTTCGGGCTCCATATACACAAATATATGAAGAGTCCATTTTGTTTTGTTCGGACTCCATATACACAAATATGTGAACTGTCCATTTTGTTTTGTTCGGGACTCCATATACACAAATATGTGAACAGTCCATTTTGTTTAGTTCAGGGCTTCATATACACAAATATGTGAACAGTCCATTTTGTTTTGGTCTTCATATACACAAATATATAAAGTGTCCATTTTATTTTGTTCGAAAGTTCATGTACACCAATATGTGAACTGTCCATTTTGTTTCTTCGGGCTCCATATACACAAATATATGAAGAGTCCATTTTGTTTTGTTCGGACTCCATATACACAAATATGTGAACTGTCCATTTTGTTTAGTTCAGGTCTTCATATACACAAATATATATAGTGTCCATTTTATTTTGTTCGGAACTTCATATACACAAATATGTGAACTGTACATTTTGTATAGTTCAGGGCTTCATATACACAAATAAATGAAATGTCCATTTTATTTTGTTAAGGATTTCATATACACAAATATGTGAACTGTCCATTTTGTTTTGTTCGGGACTTCATATACACAAATATGTGAACAGTCCATTTTGTTTAGTTCAGGGCTTCATATACACAAATATATGAAATGTCCATTTTATTTTGTTCAGGATTTCATATACACAAATATGTGAACTGTCCATTTTGTTTTGTTCGGGACTTCATATACACAAATATGTGAACTGTACATTTTGTTTAGTTCAGGGCTTCATATACACAAATATATGAAGTGTCCATTTTGTTTTGGTCTTCATATACACAAATATATATAGTGTCCATTTTGTTTTGTTCAGGGCTTTATATACACAAATATATAAATTGTCCATTTTGTTTTGTTAAGGGCTTTATATACACAAATATATATAGTGTCCATTTTGTTTTGTTCAGGGCTTTATATACACAAATATATAGAGTGTCCATTTTGTTTTGGTCTTCATATACACAAATATATGAAATATCCATTTTGTTTTGTTCTTGGCTTCATATACACAAATATATGCAGTCTCCATTAATATTTTTTGTTTTGTCTGGGGCTTTATATTTACATATATATATATATACATATGTTATTTACCTAAAGCAGCTCAGAATTGTAAATATCTGTCAAAAATATTTATAATGAATTCGAACTTATGGTCTGACTCATGTCTATTGAGCTCAGAAATCTCCACTGTCAGAAATAGGGACCAATTCATATAACAAGCACAAAATACAATCCTGAGGAATAATTAATTTCATATTCTAAGTATAATCAATACTGCCTCTAATATAATATGCATGTCAGTTGGATTTTACCAGGCAACAAAAAGGTTTTTTTTTTTTCAAATCTTGTTTAAAATGTCAATGGATGTAAATTGACATTAATCAATACTGAAATATTCCAAAAAATCCTATTACCTTCCATACTCGACACAGCACTGTCACTGTGCAGACACGACATGGTGTGCACGGTCGGTTGTTTATGGTTGTTAACCAATCAAATATGTTTCATCACTGATTGGGTAAATCAATAAATATTTAATGCTTTAAGTTTTGTGTTGACTGTCGCTCTAAACGGTTCACGTTATTAAAATGACCTTAGCTGGTAATAGGATGTTAAAAAAAAAAATCCTCTCTAAACCTGAAAGAACATAACTGTATACAAGGATAGGTAGGCATTTCCATAAAATGACCATCAATTCTTATATAATTAGAAGTTATGGCCTGACGAAGGTTAAAAAGGAGATCTGATCTTTGACCTCTTGACAGCAATGCTGATGTCACGATCTCAAGGAGATATATATGATTTGGTATAAAATATATATATAGCATCAAGTGAGAAACATAAAGCTAGGACCGTAAACACAACAATCTTATAATTATGATTAGGACAAAAAAGCTTACAGACTATGACATATCGCAAAATTTAATTTTAGTTATAGCATAAATTAAAACAGCCCAGTTTATGAATATCTAATTCCCATATTCATGCTGCACATAGGACACTATAATCAGTTTTAATATATAAATGCATTTAAGGATAGAGATTGAATAATGCAAAAGATCAAACTAGAAAATAAAAACAATTTGTAGAGGAAGCATTTCAAAACAGCCAAGAGAATATTACGTTTATTATTTTTAAGCTTTAATATTACCAGCATTTTTTCCAGGGTTAGTTCACAGAAACCAAGTTATTCTTCATAAAATCCAAGATGACCACTGTCACTGTCAGCCAAGTTAATTTTCAGATCTGGGTCAAAAATCAACCTTAAGTGGGTATATGTAATTAAAACTATCGGTATATGTAGAAAGTTTCATGAAAATCAAAGCATTCTTTCAAGAGTTATTTCACAGAAACAATGCGACTTTTATTGAAATCCAAGATGGCCACCGACAGCTATGCTGATTTTCAGATTTCTGTTAAAAATAGAACTTAAGCAGGAAACCATTTATGCAGCCGAAGCTAACTGAAAGATCCCTTATGTCTCCTTAGCTTCACATGCAACTAAAAAATAAACTGGCAAAATGGTATCCTTAGAAAGAGTGTGCATATGCACTTATGACATTCAAAATGAAGAACCAACTAAAGCACAGCTGGTTAACTATACAGAAGCTGGCCACAGACAGATAAGAGCGTAACGGGCATTAGAAGGCAAGTTAGTGACAGAATGTCCGCACTGAAGCAAATCATGTCAATTTCTGTACATACAATGCACATTTGTAGATAGTTTGTGAAATCAAGCAAAGCCGAAAATAAATTTGACTTCAAAATAAATGTATACCTCTTCATCAATGACCTCAGTTTTTATCCTCACTGGGCTTGACTCAATAGTAATCACGTCCACGGACGACACCGACGTGGAGGCTACAGGCGGCAACGAGTTACCAGATGTTGAAGAAGGCGTGGCCCCGGTGACGACATCTGTAGGATTAGAGGCTGGAATGGGTATACTCCCGTTGGTTACATTTGTAACGTCAGAGACAGGAGGGGATGTAACCATGTTTGTGACATTTGCAGTATCGGACTCTGGAGAGTGTGTGGTCCCATTATTGGGAGCATCTGTAGAATTTGAGACTGGAAGGGGTGTGGTCCCATTGGTGGCGTCTGTGGTGTTAGTAGTGAGGGTTGCCTTGGACGGCGGTGGGATGTTATTACTATTTATACTACTAGGGATTGGTATGTCTCTGACCTCTGTATTTGTTGTAGATTGTGTGATCGGTGTCCCTATTCCATTCACCAAGGCAGGAATATCTGCTGAGAGAAAAAAAAACAGACTTAATTTTCTGTGTAGTTTGACACTCTATTTCATTTGACACTTTATCGGGCTGAAAAGATACGCATACCTCACGATACGATACGCATCGCGGTACAGTGCTAATGATAGGATACATATCATGATACAAACATCTGCTTGAAAGGTCAACTTTTTACTGGTTAAGACCAGGATTTTATCAAGCTTTGCCATAGACTTCAAAAGTAAATATTATCCAAAAATATTTTCGTATAATTTCTAGTACTTTCTCAGTTTCTGATATGACTGCACAGTGCCAGACCACATCTTGATGAAGGATTCAAAAAATATATAAGTACACTTTTTTAGAGTTTGATCAAAATTGATTGATTGAAGTACTGTTAGTGTATCGCGACACAGGCAAACAAAACAATTTGATACGATACACAAGAAAGTATCATGGTACCATAATATATATCATTGCAGCCCTCAAATTTATTCTCAATTTTTCAGGATTTTGTAAAATCCTTCTCATTTATTAATAAAACAAGAATATCTAATGGTTTCACATTGAATACCATGTACATTTCTCCGATATAGCAGAACACAAATATTTTTTCACGCGAAGCACAAGTAAAAATATCAGTATTTCTGCCATTCTCAAGAAATATATAAAGTATGCAACGAGAAACACATAAAAAAAATAATTAATTACATTTTTTAAGTAATAAAGTGCAAATAATGCTGCATAATAAAGTGACAGAATTAGTAGTGTAATGTTTGACGCCAGGATCTAACGACATCATGCATGACAACAAGCTAAGGCAGATCGCCATTTTGGATGGATTAAATTATTCACCGCGATTCTGTCGGTCGATTGCTGCCAGCTGCTATTATCTGTTTAGATTTCCAAACCAAAACAAAACAAGATATCAAATACCCTAAGGCCAAAATAATGTTTGTTTCCGGTAACATGCCTGAAAAAAATAGGGTAGGTCGGTAGGCATATTTTTTGTTTATTTTTATGTGATTTTTTTTTTTGCAAATTAATATTGTTTTTCAAATTTTGCAATGCATTTCCAACCATAACAATGGAGTTAATTTGTCAAGAAAAAGATCAGACTCACAGAACAGGAAGAAAGTACATTTTAATGAGTGGCTGTGAACTTTGTCTGGCTAATAAATTAATCTCAGATACAAGTAGGTGATGCAATATCTAGGGTCTACAGTAAAATCTAGGGTAGGTTATATATATTATAGGATACCCGAAACATACATTTTTATTTTTTGGCCTAATGTACGGAATGTTGCAAAGGTGTACAAAACAACTACTTACCCTGCAGTCACTTCATCTGAGAAAATGTCTGATATTATAGGTATTCTGATGAAGATCTATATAATGTGAATGAGTTAATAATATCCTTAACCTTGCTCAATAAAGCAGCATTATTTTACACCCCAGAAGACTCAAGGAATAAGGTTTTTTTCATGGAAGTGCACGTGGTATAACAGTTGCAATTGTGAGCCACAAATAATAAGACAAATCACATTTTTTTCACACGGACTTGGCTGGAGGTAATTCATAAACAAGTTATCTGTAGTACTGTTGGGATCAATTTCTAGCAGAGCATTTGAAAATTGACCTTGCCTTTGCTACAATGATAAACTTTGAACCCCAGTTTTGCATTGCAGCTTTAATTATAGCAATGTCTATGTATTGCATAGCACTACACTAACAGTGATAGATATATATAAGTAATAAATATTGGTTTCAATCAACACTTCCACACTCAATATGGCCAGCAGTTAAAATATGACTGTTTGATTATAAAAGGCAGTAGTTATTTATAGAACTATTATAAACCAAATTACATATTTATAGTAGTCGAGTTCCATGTTTATAACTCAAACTTAACCTTTGACCCTGGGGATTGCTGGGAATTCCCCCCACACATAACATAAATACACGTACATTAAACGCTTCATAAAGATACCTTTGTTGACCAATATTGTATAAATACTGGGGATTTATCAATCAAGCAACGCAAACAACACAGTACACATGAGACAATGCAGTCAGTGTGTGCAAGTTGAATCTGGTCAGAACTCGACAAGTCAAATATCCCCAAGACACTTGCAAAAGTTAACAGTAATATTGCATCGTCTCACGGTTCTAAGACAGCAGTCAGTAAATCATAGGAGTGTTACAACAGTTTTAAGTGAGCAATATTTGAGTAAAATAATTACCTTCGTCGGGATATTTAGCCATGAATGCGCATTAACGTCAGGTCATGCTTGTAATTTGAGTGTAAAGTTGTAGGCCTAGTGTTAACGATCAAGCGTTGCAACGACATCGATTGTGATCATGACCGAGATTACCTAGGCCTAAACCAGAATTTGTTCACGCACCTTGCTCAGAATAATAACCTAATTAATATAAGCAGGTATATAATCCCATAGGGACCCGATCGTTCGGGTCTAATAAATAAAAAGTCTATCAGTTTTTTTTTTTATATATGACACTGTCTCTGGTTCCTCTTTATGCACACAAAATAAGAAAGACATCAAGATTTAAACTCTTTCGTTTATTGATGAAACTGGACAAAACAACCTACAATATACATTTCTATTGAAGATAGGTTCAATTCAAATGAAGATAGATACAATCCAATTGAAGATAATTATAATTCAATTAAATATTGGTTCAAATATGACGAATTAAACATAAACCCATTGAATCGAACCTATGTCCAATTAAATTAAACCTATCTTCACGGAATTTAAGTCCGTGAATCAAATCTGTCTCCGATTGAATTGAACCTATCTTCAATAGAATTTTTTTTAAAAATCATTTGTACCTTGGTTCAATTCAACTGAAGATAGGTTAAATTAATTGAAATAGGTCAAATTTGATGGAGATGGGTTCAATTCAATTAAGGATATGTTATATTTGTACCTAAGTTCAATTCAATTGTAGATAGGTTCAAATAATTGTACCTATCTTTAATTATTTAAAGATAAGTACAACGGAATTGAATATATCTTTAATTGAATTGAACATGTCTTCAATTAATTGTACCTATCTTCAATTAATTGAAGGTAGGTACAACTAATTGAATATATGTTAATTTGGCGTTCCATAGTATGACATAAGTATGTATATATATATGATATATAGGCTCGAATGGTTTTCGAAAGTAATACGCATTCAACCAATACATTTGTTTGTTCGGATCCAGTGCCAATATTGGATCATACTGTCGCTATTACTTATGAGACCTAATATATATAATATCTATCTATCAGCAAAGAAGTAATAACGACAGTGCAGGCAAAGAAATATTTCAATTTTTCAGGGCGATCTGCCCCTTTATCAAGACAGGAACATGATAATTAACATATCACAACAATAACAGAGATAAAAAAAAAAAAATCAGCATGAGACAATAATACAATAAAAACACAAACAAACATAACTTACTTAAAAAAAATGCTATTGTAATTGCATATCCCCTCGGTTAGTTTGTAACCGAAGGTTAATTATACTAACTAATTCATCTTGAATATGTGAGGTCAAGTGAATTAATACTAAAAATATACGTATAACCTGCAGTCTACACCCAATTGTGCATATTAGGATAAAATTGGGAAGGGGACACCGTGATATGTATTTGTTTGTTTGTTTGTTCAACAGACAGAGTAAATATGGGATGGATTTAATCAGTGGCAATATATATAACGTGTGTACATCGACAACTAAACAAAATATACACTTGTCAATTAATTAAAGCATTTTCAAAATGTGTTTGTCCACCTAACTTAAATCTACTGTGGCCGAATTAAAAAGTGTCTCGTACATAAAGCAAACACCTGTGTGATATGTAAATATGTATTGTATATGTGATGGAATTAAATATCATGTCACGAACTCAGATCTAATTTAATTCCGTGGTCATATTAAAATATTAAGACATGACGACACTACACAGGTTCTAGAAAGTATATATACACGTACGAATTATTATTTCCGTTTATACTTGAGCGTGTTCTCCAGTTCTACTTAATTTTTAAACGTGCAACACAATGACAAGCAACCATTCAGCTCACACACCGGCTCGAGCCGGAAGATAACATTGATGCTGTCGATAAATTTTGCTTTCTTATCTACATTATCCACTTATTGCACTCAAACTTAACATCATCATTCACAATTTTTGCTAGGGAAAAGATCAACCTTTCTCTTATTTCTGTGCGTATTTGACAGAACTGTCCCGGGTAAGAAATTAAGGGACGTAGGAAATGTCTATCTTACATCAATTTTAAGAGTGTGACGTCACAATGGGATAACAATTATGACGTGACGTAACGAAATCGGGAACATTCTGATGACGTGATGCTGAAACTGCGACGCCATTTTTTTCTGAGATAATTGTGGAGATTGGAATGAGACAATGATTAACTCTTTACTGCTCAGGGGTGTAGGATAGGGAAATTCCACCCAAGGGGTTGTCGCTTTTGAATTGGGTTAAACTCGAGCCTTGCACCAATTGAAAATCCCCAGGGTGGCCATGGAAATTTCCTATCCTTCACACCTGGGCATGAAAGAGTCAAGTAGACTTTATACCTACCTACAATGTACATGTAGCTTATCTAACGCGCTATCATTCTGAAAATGTCACCATCGCGTCATCACTTCATGCAGTGTTACCATGGTAATGTGATCAATTTGATGATGACGCGATGCATTGGGTTCACCATTTCAACCTATTTTTACGGTAAGAAGGTGCGAGAGGAAAATAACCAATCACTTCTGTATGATGCAGACGGACGAGCACACATAGTGCACTTATATTAGTGACTTTTACTATTATGACGTCACAATCAGACGACGACGTTTTATTATGACTCTACAATCAAACGACGGCGTTATATATTATGATGTTACAAAGGAAAGCCCGTCAAAACTTCTGACGGACTGTGACAATCTTGCACTCGGCACATCTGCAAACCTCTGTCAACCATTCGGCAGCACAAAAGGAAATGCTTGGCAGAAAGTTGCCGGGAAGTTGTGACAAACATCTGCAAACCTCTTTCAGCCATTTGACGACACAAATGGTTAGGAGTTGGTGGCCAATCTAAGAACTTACCTGTTGGATGAGGTTTGCTGGAATCCTCCTGGTCGACGGTCATGATACAGTATACGAAAGTAGATGAAGTCTGTAAGTGTACATATTACAAAAATAACAAACTGCGCCATACTTAATTTAAGAGTTTTGATTGTGCAGTACACTAGATGACAAACTATGTACTCTCATTACAATACACTGAAGTAGATGATATAGAATTTCTATTATAACATTAAATAGTGTAACTTTAAGGTGAAAGTATGCTTTGGCCGAATGCAGTGTATCGTTGAATAGATACTCATTCGAGTGGTTGTAATGATGACACTGACTATCTCAATACGTTTGCATGGTGTTTCAGTAATACACTGGACATTTCTGTGCAGTTGAAATTCTTTTCAGGGGGAGAAACCAACTAAGAAAACAATAAATATTGTGTGTAAACGTTTCATATCTTTGCTCATCGAAAAAGTAATCCAGCTACTGTACAGATCTTAGTTTAGTATCTGTTTACTTTAGTACTTTGTATATAGTTTGTCGGTTGATATCGACCACCACCGTAAATGAAGCTATCACACAGATCAGCATTTAGAAGTTTGACAAAGATTGATGACCAGGTCTCGTATTCATGACACCGTTCTCATGCTCCAACTCAGATTCTGTGCTTAAAGCCAAATGTCTTGTTTCGATGATTAATCCATTTAGAAATCACATTTTGTTAACAATTTTGTAAGAATTTGGGAGCGAATTCAACCCATATTTTATTATAAATATTCACACTTGACTATCTGACAATGTCAAATGATATAGCAAGTTACAAAAAGATTGGTTTGAGCACAAAATCCATGCTTGAGCATGACAACAGTTTCATGAATACGGGCCCAGTTGTAGGAAGTCAAATTTTAAAATTATTTTATGAATTATTGTTGGGGATAGGAGTGATTTGTGTATATTATATGAATATGATTATTTTGGTTCCAAGGACATGTGTATTTTGATTTCAGTTTTAACATTGATCTTATATTTTCCTCAGTGTCGCATTGAGACAATTAATATAATTAATTCAATTGAGAAAATGTTCGCCAGGAAATGATTGAAAATGAAACAAATCTGTAAAAATTATATTTGCTCGACCGTACAATTCCTTTAATGTCTCATCTATACTTCTTCAGTAGGTGGAAAAAAGTGCCCCAAAAATCCTTATAGTATCAGAGATGTAACTTTATACCCATTATCGGTCCAGTGTTGGTCATTTAAAAGATTGTCAAAGATGACCCAGCTTTGTATACCAGCACGTATTGTCCAAAATGAGCAACGGATCCCACGTCACACAAGACTGATTCTATTGTGAGATATACTGTATAATGTGTGTTCGCGTGTAGTGATATGGATGGATGTCGAGAGATTCAACATTTGAATATTTCTTCGTAAAAATAATGTTTTATAAAATGTGTTCGATAAGTGTTAATTCATAAAAAAAATATGTATTTTACCATTTACACTGATAAGATTTAATTTTTGGTTTTTATACACTTGCGACGATAGCTTGTAATTATCATTTACAATTTATAGTGTTCAATTTGTACATATAAATTAGAATTTAAACATATAAAATTGATGACCTGTTATTTAAAGTCAAATTTTCAATTTCTGTTTGTTTTAATATTTGCAGAACTGTGAGTATTTCTGTCTAAATCACCTAACGATGATCTTCGGAATCGCATGATTTCTTTTCAAGTTTAAAAAATTATCTTCACGTCTGTATTTTAGGCTCTTTGCACAGATGTCATGTACATACCACCATTTATTCATTCATTTATATGCACATTGAGATGATTATCTTCTTCCTTAATGTATAATAGTGATTGTAAGCCATTTTTGTTTATCAGTTATAACTAATACTGTTATCCATATGTTGTAAAGCGATTTAGAGTAATTTTACAAATTATATAGGGCGCTTTATCCATGTTTTATATTATTATTATTATTATTATTATTATTATTAATTTTCAATATATAAATAAATGATTGAATTTGAAACGCATCAACGTTGTTCGTTTGACTTAACGATTCCTTAGTGTTGTATCTCTTTTTTCGACATGTGAAAACCCCTCGATTGCCTCTCCTCAATCTGTATAGCGGTCAAGTATCCGAGATTTAACAGTATACCCTGTATAGTCCCAGCGGCTTGTCCTCTGTTCCCCCACTTTTTAAAATAACATAGGGAGAAGAAT